CGCATGTCCTCAGACCTCAGCCGCATCCTTCAGCTACTTCAGCAGCCACAGGGCCACACCGGCTACATCCTGGGAGCCCCTGCCTCCAGTGACCTGGACTTGTTGCCTGAAACTTCAGTGACTCAGAGTCCAGAGCCCAGGCTTCTTATGGGACACTCTGCACAGGTGAGAGATGAGGGCATCCCCAGGGTTTCCCTGGAAGCAACTGCATGATTCTCCCACCCTCAACTGGAAGCTGTATCTCCTGCTGCCCTTTTTATGGTTTACAACCCCCGATGGGGCAACCTGGACAGGATGCTGCAAAGCCCTGTGATCACAGACCCCACAGCTCAGACAGGGATAACAAGACCCTGGGGTTCCTCCATCTCTCTGAGGAGGAGCAGGTAGAGAGTTCTTGCTGGTTCCCATCCCAGAAGTCAAAGTGGATCAATATCCAGTTTAGAAACTGGGGTGATGGCTCAGTTGGGAAAGTGCTCACCATGCAAGTATGAGGACCCAGGTTCGATCCCCACCACCCATGTAAAAAGCTGGATGAGGTAGTATATACATGCAATTCCAAGGCTGGGGAGGTAAAGATAAGTGGATCCCTAGGGTTCACTGACCCGCCAGTCAAACATAATTGACAAGCCCCAGGACCTTGTGAGAGACCTTCTCACAAAGGGCAAGGCAGACATCTCCTGAGAAACACCTGAGATTACACAACACTCATATATATACATCTATATACATACATACATACATACATACATACACATACTCACTCATTTATATACAACACTCATATATATGCACACACACACACACACACACACACACACACACACACACACTCATGCACAAAATGAAGACATATCTAGTCTGACCTGGAGGTGGGGGTTGGGCTCCACACACCTCTTTTGCCTCTCCCCCAGACCCTAAGCTATGGTGACTTGAACAAACATATTCAGAAGCCCAGGAATTTCTCCCCCAGGATGCATCACTTGGCTGTGGCAATGGACCAAACTCCCGTACCATCCTCAGAACAAGAACAGCCTGAGGGGCTCCTGACACCTCTGGCCTCATCTCTCTGTCCCCTGGAAGTACAGGGACTCATCAGTGGTCCCCATTTTCCCTCCCTTCCTAAAGACCTCAGCTCTGTTCCCAAGCAGCTGGAGTTCCAGAGGCACAGTTCAGATCCTGGCTTCACAAGGAGTTAGAGCCATTGGGTCCCAAGATTAAAAGCTACCATGAAGGAACTGAAATATAGTGAGATGGGAGTTAAACCTCTCGGGAGAGCCAGACGGCCCTTGCCTGAAACTCTGAAAACCGTTTTCTCAGAGAAACTATAGACTACTGAGCCAGGTGAGGATGGCCTGAGCGGAGAGGCTCAGGACTTGGTCCAGCCCTCTTGGGGTTCCATGTAATCAGCAAGCCAGGCAGAGGGTTGCTTCAAAGCGTCAGTGAAGAAGGGAGTTTTCTGATCTTGAGTCTTGCTTGGGGCTGCAAGTGATCACCTCCCAGCTCAGAGTCATCCTTTGCCTCAAAAGGCCAGAACCAAGGCCAGGGTAGACCAGACCTTTCATCAAAAGCCTCTAAAGTGGCTGGAGTTAGCGGTGTCCTCCATGGTGTACCTAAAAGACAGAGCTCCAGCCCCTAGCCCCTCTACCCGAGAGTTCCATGACAACGTCTGGGTCCCTTGGGGGCATGCAGTGTCACACAGCTAATAAAGTCTTGAACATTTCATGTTGGGTTAAATGTGTACCGCATCTGAGCATCATCAGGTCGATGCTGGTGCCCTTCTACATCCAGCCTATTGGAGACCAGAGGCTGTCTCAGTTGAGCCCTGCGCTATCTCCAGATGAAGGAAACAGAGATACGGCCTAAGTGTCTGTAGAGATTCATGACAACAATCAGCGTTAGCCCAGCACTCCACCATCCTGACTGCCCTGCAGGTAGAAGCTTGTCTAACCCTCAGGACAACCTCAGGGGGTGGGCAGTACTGTCCTCACAGGAGAGATCTTGGGTTGGTAGAGGGAGACCAAGGCACTTACCAGCGTGTGGGTGGCCTTCTGGCCATGTCTGTACTGTCCTTCTTTCTGATCTGGTATGGGCACATGGATCTGTTCAGGTTAGAAAAATGTGTGCACTTCCTTATTATTTCAATAAAAAGTCAAGCTTAATACACTAGAAAATGGAGAACATGATTCCAACCCAGACTATCTGACCTGAGAAACCTTTAAAAATTGGCATTCCTTTATCCTCATATAATTCTAACTCCCACTCCCATTTCCCCTCCTTTTGCAATTTCTACTTGATGCCTCAGAGCCTGTCAGTGATTAGACCAGCACATACTTGCAAGTGTTTACACAGACAGAGACCTTAAAGTTAACTTTTTGTACCCTTAGTAAGACTAACTAACTAACTAACTACTAACACTACTTCAAAACAACATATGGGAGATGGCTCAGTGGGTGAGATGCGTGAGGACCCGAACTGTATTCCCCAAACTCTCATAAGAAATCCCTGCAGTGCCGGGCATTGGTGGCGCGAGCCTTTGTTCCCAGCACTCGGGAGGCAGAGGCAGGTGGATCTCTGTGAGTTTGAGGCCAGCCTGGTCTACAGAGTGAATTCTAAGACAGGCTCCAAAGCTACAGAAAAAAAACCCTGTTTTGAAAAACATAAAAAAGAAGCAAACAAAGAAAGAAAGAAAAAGAAAAATTCCTACAGTAATAGTATACATTTGTAATCCTGGCACTGAGACAGGAGGATTCCTGGGATTTGCTGGCCAGCCATTCTAGCCTAATTGGTGAATTCCAGACCAATGAGAGACCCTGTTTCAAAAGAGGTGGGTGGCATTCCTGAGGAGCACCACGCTTGTCCTCTAGCATACACAGATATGTACAGATGCACACACATGTATTTACACACAAATTAAAGAAAAGTAGCTCATGCCTGTAAAGCCAGCACTTGAGAAGCTGAGGCAGAACAACCATGAGAACAGGAACCAGAACAACATGACAAGATAATCCAGCCATCCAGAAAAATAACCAATGCAATTGCAGATGTTAGCAAGTACCTCTCATTAATAACCGTATATGTGCATAGCCTGAACTCACCAGCAAAGATTTAAAAACCAAGTTCCAACTATGTGTTGTCTCCAAAAGACACACTTTACTGACAAAGACACCTACGGACTGGTAGTCAAAGGATGGAAGTCAGTCTGTGAAGCAAATGATCACATTCTACATGTATAGTCAGAAAGCAAAAAGGGATGGCTGCCCACAGCCAGAGCTTGCTCCTTCTTCTTCAGTCTGGAAGCCCAGCCATGGAATGGAGTCGCCCACGGTTAAGGTGAGTCCTCCCACCTCCGTGAACCCTCACAAGCATTGAAACTTGTCTCCTAGGTGATTCTGGAGTCTCTCCTAAATAGAAAGGGAGTGATCCCTACTAAATTCACCCTACACAGTCATTATTAACACTCTGCAAAATCGGAAATGATGTAATCAATAGAAAACTATGAGCCAAATTCAGAAATGATGTAACCAATAGAAAGCCAAATTTTTTTTTTTCCGAGACAGGGTTTCTCTGTGGCTTTGGAGGCTGTCCTGGAACTGGCTCTTGTAGACCAGGCTGGTCTCAAACTCACAGAGATCCACCTGCCTCTGCCTCCCTAGTGCTGGGATTAAAGGTGTGCGCCACCAACGCCCGGCCCAAATTTCTTGATAAGTATTATTTTGTCGTTGCTGGATGGTGGTGGGACACAGCTTTAATCACCAGTACTCTGGAGGCAGGAGCAGGTGGATCTCTGAGTTTAAGACAAGCATGGTCCACAGAGCAAGTTCCAGGACAGCCGTACTACACAGTGAATCCCTGTCTCAAAAAACCAAGAATAAATAAAAATAGAAGCATGCACAGTAGACTTGTTCACACAGGTGAACATGACCAAAAGATAGTTGCTAAATGTATACCATTGACCCTCAAGGATTCCAGTGTCTGTGTTAACATCACTTTCGTTAAATACTGTACTTTATGGGCTGGAGAGATGGTACAACCCTGGAGAGCCCTGGCTGTTCTTGGAGAGACCCGGGTTGGATTCCAGGCTCTCACACGGTGTCTCACAACCATCTGTAACTCTGCCTCTTCTGACCTCTGTGGGCACCTGTACACATGTGGTACACTTACAAACACTCAGGCACACACAAATACACATATTTTTAAACTGTGTTTGATTATATTGCCTAACAATTCGATACAACCTCTTTCAATATCATTGAAAGCATTTAAATTTTTATAACGATGTATCTAGATCCAGGCTTTTGTACATTTCAAATTCATGGCACATAGACTTTTAAGGTTGGGTTAGCATTTGGCTTTTGAACACCCCCGGAGCGAGGAAGGAAATCAATCCTAGAATTCGGGAGTCTTTCTAGTGTCTATAGGACAGCGCAGGAAAGCCTCGATCAAGCTGACCTGGCCCTGAATGTCTCTCTCGGGCCTGTAAGAAAACTGTTTAAAGTGGCCTTGGGCCTGGAGAGGGTCCCAGTTTGGCACAGGCTGCAGGACCGCCGGATTTAGTGCCATGCAATAAACGCAGGAGTCTTCCATTAAGGTAATTTGACACGTTACTTGAAGCGGAGAGAGACATTCAGAACAGCAGCAACAGTGGAAAAGTGACAGGCTTCACTCTTAGGACCCTTGGCCTAGAACTTGAAGGCGCGCAGAAGGGTACACTTGCCCCCAGGCCACCCACGCCCCCATTCACCCGCACTGCGCCGTTATCCGTCTGACTGACATCTTGGCTAGCCAATGATCTTTGGGACTTTAAAAGAGCCCGCCTCTTGGAGTTGGGCGGGGCGAATCAGCAGAATGACAAACATTTCCGCCAATGGTGAGGAGGACGCGGGTTGCTAAGGCTGTATTGACCAATAAGAAGAAAGAACAGTTTGGAAAGGACATACCCGGCAGCCAACGCTCGTCGTCGCTACGGAATCGCGTGGCTTCCGTTCCGAGAGGGCGGGCCGGCATCGCAAACGGAAGGTGGTAGTCGCTGCCGGAGCTTGTTTGAAACTGGTGGTCGGGCCGGGCGGAGTGGGTGTGTAGCGGAGGACCCGCCGGAGGGCTAGGCCGTTCCTGAGCGCCCCGGTCCCGCCGCCTCTCGGACCCGCTGACCCCAGCCGGGCTCCCCGCCCGTCCCGTGCCCCAGCCCGCCGCCTCTCCGGCCGGCTCTGCGGCCCAGCCGCCACCATGTCCCTGCACGGCAAACGGAAGGAGATCTACAAATATGAAGCGCCCTGGACTGTCTACGCCATGAACTGGAGCGTGCGGCCCGACAAGCGCTTTCGCCTGGCGCTGGGCAGCTTCGTGGAGGAGTACAACAACAAGGTGCGTCGTGCAGAGGCTCGGCTTCTCCTGGCGGGGAGTGCTCGAGGTGGGCGGCAGCCCCAGATCCCGCAGCTGCCCCGCCAACTTGCCTTCATAGCAAGGGGGAGGTTCCTCCGTGTGGCCCTGCTGGTGAGGGTGTTAACTTTGACAGCCGGGGAAACTGAGGACAGTGTCGTGGCATGCCTGGGACGTAGTGTTTTGTTTTGGTTTTTTTGTTTTGTTTTGTTTTGTTTTGGTGGCAGTAGCGGGTTTCAAACCGGAGTTGAAGCCTCGTCCTGTGCCGCCTCTCCCATCTCCCCCACTTCTGCCGCAGTGCTTCTGTTGCTAGGCGGGGGGCGGGAGAGAGGCAGTGGAGGAAGATGCGGGCGCTTGGATTGGTGGTCGTGCATTCCTGGCCACGCGAGATTTCTGTTAGGGCTATTTATTGCAAGATCTTCCCCATCTCAGGTATTTCTCATGGATACAGAGCCCTAATGCTAGGTTGTCATTGGTCATTGGTTTTGCTTCCCGATGTCCACCCCCCACACACACACCCAGTCTATCCTTGGAAACCTTGGTCTGTAGCATTATCCCGCCATTATTTCTGAATAGAGGAAGATGACATCTGACCTTTTCTTTTCGTGGTTCCTTTCACGTTGATTTGCAGCATTGCTGGACATCCGTCACTCCATCAAAACGCTGGTACAGGAGAGAGCTCTTAAGCTAATACTTCGGGATATAGTTTTGAAAGTGTTGAGAAGAATCCCCCCCCATCTCTTGACTTAATTCTTTTGGTTTAATTAGAGTTTAAAAAGGAAAAAGAAAAAAAAAAAAGAATGACAAGAGATCAGAGCTACTGCAAGCTTTGACCAGTGGTGTTTAAAGCCAGTACTCTGCTTCCTCCTGGGATCATCAGACTGCAGACAAGTGACCAGATGTTAGGAGGAGTGAAGAAGTAGGTGGTCTAGGATTTCGCTAGACCACCTTGCATAGACCAATTTTATTATTTCTAGCCCACAGTGATACAGGAAAGGGATTCGGTTTTAAATGTGAAGATTCAGGTGAAAAGGTTTGAACATTTTATGTTTGTAGTATTTTAGGAGCGCATGTGTTTCTCTGGGTAAGGGTCCTCATTTCTTTCGTCCTCTTTGAGAAATGGGTGAAAGGGATTGTCTTTCATTGCCAATACTTCACACATACACAGTAGTTTACAGTCCCAGAGAGTATGCACTGATCACCCCGTTCCTAAACAAGAACCTATTTCTTTTCTCTGATGGCTCTTTCTCCCACAGTGGCAGGAAAACTGGGGCTGCCTTTCAGGGTCCAGGTGTGGGTAGTGTTAGTAAGTTTAAGACCACTAGAAAAAAGCTGTTGTTTAAGAATTTGTGTAAGAAATAAATGTAAAATGTGTCCATCAAAGGACCATAGTTGTTTTTTTTTTTTTCACACACACACAAATTAATTTTTTTTCCCTTTAAATTCTTCCAGAGTCTTTTATCTAAAAGAGGAGACATTGACTACCTGCAGAGGCCAGAAGAGGGTGTCACAGTCCCCCAGAGCTGGAGTTACAGGCTGTTGTAAGCCACCCAGTGTGAGTGCTGGGAACCGAACTAAGTCCTCTGCATGAGCAGTGAATGATCTTGTCTCCAGCACCTCGATTTAAAACTATGAACATGCCCAATGCCTTCTGAGGAGCAAATATGTAATATAAAGTAACCCTCAAGCTGGGCCTGGTGGCTTTTATTTGTAATTCCAGCACTTGAAAGGTTGAGGAAGGAGGATTTTTGTAATTTTGAGGTTAGTCTGGGCTACATAGTGAGCTCCCAACCAATCTGAGTTACAAAGTAAGACCTTATCTCAAACAAAAAAATAAAATCTGACTCAGAAACGTGCTCTTTACTTTCATCATTTCTGTGAATAATGCACATTATATGTTATTCATATCTTGTGGCATTATTGTTTTTGAGGCACAGTCTCATGTAATCCAAGCAGACTTTGAACTCCTTATCTACCTGCCTCCACCTCCCAAGTGCAGGAAATTATCTATAGATGTCACCATGTCCAGCTACCTTGTGAGTTTTGTTTTTCTAAAAGGAAAGTGCCATATCTCCTTCCTTGTTTGTTAACATAAGCTCCTTGAAAAAAAAATCTATTCCATTTCAGGGTACACAGTGCTCATGTGGAGCACAACAGCGGAAATGTATAAGTGTGAAATAAACATCCATGTTATTCAAATCAATTGGAGTCATTAGATCACTGTCTTAGGGTTCTATTGCTGTGAAGAGACACCATGACCACAGCAACGCTTATAAAGGAACACATTTAATGGGGTGGCTTACAGTTCAGAGGTTCAGTCCATTTTCATCATGGTGGGACATAGTAGCATGCAGGCAGATGTGGTGTTGGGAGAAGGAGCTAAGAGTTTTACATCTTGATTTGCTGACAACAGGAAGTGAACTGAGACACTGGGCATGGCTTGGGCATATATAAGACCTCAAAGCCTGATTCCACAGTGACACACTTCCAACAAGGTCACAACTCCTAATAGTACCACTCCTTAGGAGCTTATGAGGGCCAATTACAGTCAAATTACCACAATAACTTTCCTATGACTGCAGATAGAACCAAAATCAGCTGCTCATGAGGCCCTGGGTTCAATCCCCAGCATAAGAACAAAAAGTTTCCTAACTAAATCAGTGATTGATTGCCTCATTTTAACACAGAAAGAAACTGAGGCACAGAGGACAACTTACGTAAAGCCACACAACCTGGCAAATGGCAGGATTGTGAGTGTCATGTTGGGGGGTTCGGCTAAGAGATGGCCCTGTTTAGAGCTCTTGTAGAGAACTGGGTTAATTTCCAGCACCCACATAGTGGCTCATAACCAGTTCCAGGGGAACCAACAGGCATGCATGAGGTACACATACATACATACATACATACATACATACATACATACATACATACATGCAAAACATTCATGCACATAAAGAAATCTAATAAAACTTTTGTTTAAAAGACAACTACATGGCAGACACAAGCACAATCAAAAGTTTAAAAATCAATCTTTAAAAAGCTAGGCCGGGTGTTGGTGGCGCACGCCTTTAATCCCAGCAGAGGGAGGCAGAGGCAGGTGGATCTCTGAGTTTGAGGCCAGCCTGGTCTACAGAGCGAGTTCCAGGGCAGCCAAGGTTACACAAAGAAACCCTGTCTTGAAAGCAAACAAACCCAAATAATAAATAAAATAAAAATGAGAAAAAGATAAGCCAAGAGCGGTAACACACGCCTGTGCCCCCAGGAGGTCCCACCTTAGAGGCCAGCCTGGGGTATACAGACAAGATTTGTTTGTGTTTTTTAAAGTGCCCATCGTGCTTTTTCAGTGAATAAAAAGGATCCTGCTCTGTAGCTCTCCTCTTTAGGGCTCTGTTTCAGTGCTGGAGAAGTGTTGTGATGAGTGATTGCAGAAGGCACTGAAGGTAGGAATGGAAGAGGTGTGACAGGCGACTGCAGCGAAGGGCCGGCTGTCGGCATGATAACGTGGACAGAATCCTTTTTTCCCAGCGTTCCCCAAGTATGTAAGGAAGGGCAGTGGGATACAGATTCTAGGAAGGGGATAAGAAGGGTATCTGCCTATGGCTACAGATGCCAAACTCAAAGGATTTGTAGTTCTCCAAAATAGGATTTTGTTGGACAAAGAAAAAGAAAATCCGTCTTTTGGGACAAGGAGAGGGAGCACAGGTTGGAGGAGTACTTAGTCATGTAAAGCAAGGGAAGCAAGAGGTCAAGTTTAGCCTGGGCTACAGACTGAATTTAAGGCTAGCCTGGTAACTCAGTGAGACCCTGTCTTAAAAGGTAGAAAGACCGGAGGATGTAGCTGAGTGGATAGAGTTTCTGACTAGTATGTGTGATTCCCTGGATTCAACCTCCTGTGCTAGAAAAAAAAAAAGAAAGAAAAGAAATTGCATTGAAGAAGATATGAGAAAGGAGGCCTGCGTCATTGGAGAAAAGCTCCCACAAAAAAAGAGACAAAACCCCCAGGTTTGTAGTTACAAGAATTGAGGGAAAGGGTTGACACGATGAGTTCAGATCTCAACCACTAATATAAAACAATGTAAAATAAAGCATTGTTTTTCCTGTAGAATTAGCAAGAAAGTTATTCTTATTTTTAGTGTTTCAGAGGTGTGAGGGGATTGACATTCATTTACTGTTAATAAAAGTATAAATGGAAGCAACATTTAAATTTTCTTTTTTAATTAATTATCATTATAAAGAAGGTTTTGTTGTGACATTTTCATATTATATTTTGTTCTTTTCTGTCCCTCCTCCTCCCCTTCCTTGTGTCCCCTCTTTCTTACTGGTCCCCTCTTCTCCACTCCTGCTTTCATATCACATATACTCCCTTTCCCTGTCTTGCTCCCCTTCCTCCTTTTAGACTCCTTCCTGTCGTCTCCGAGTCCCTTTTCTACCTTTGTATCATATATGTACAGATGTGTGTATGTTATCTATATAAATTTTAATGTAGATATCACATATGGGAGAAATCATTTGTCTTTCTGAGTCTGGTGTGTTTCTTCTAACATGATGATGATACCGGGTTCCACCCATTTTCCTGCAAATTTCATTTTTTCTTACAGTTGAATACAGTTCCATTGTGTTTACACTACATTTTCTTTATCTGGTCACCTGTTGATAGGCCTCTAGTTTGACTCCGTACCTTTGCTGTTGTGAATAGTACAGCAATATTTGCAGATGTTCAAGTGTCTCTGTGGTGTGCTGGCTAAGAATCCTTCTGGTACATACCCAGGAGTGGATTATATGGTATTTCTATTTTTAGGGCTTTATTCCTCCCCTTGCTCTCACTGTGTAGTCCAGGGTGGCCTTGAACTAGGAGTGATTCTCCTGCCTCAGTTTTCCAAGTGCTAGAATTACGGGTCTGAGCCACCATGCCCAGTTTGTTTTTTAGCTTTTTGAAGACCTTCCCTCCATATTGATTTTCACACGGGGACCACACCAGTTTACAT